TTGGTATTGCTTTCCTGTTTTTCTGATAACACGTATTTCTAAACCTGTACTTATTTTGGCCAATTGTTGGCTTGCAGTGCCTTTTTCGAACTCCTCTAAGCCTCTATGATGCTGTAATCCTTCTCCATGGAGACAGATTACCTTACCCGAAACGTCTTCTCTTCACTTCTGAACTGGACCAAGGTATATTCCTGGGAGGGAAAAAGTTTGCACGACTATCATATTCTTTTTTTGTATCAATCAATTATCATGGTATTATATGTAATATAATAACGATTTGATCAGGGAAACATGTGGCTCATGGCAATGCTAGCAATGCTTTCCACCCTTTCCTATTACCTGCTGACATGAAAGGTAGCTTAGAGCAACTTAAAACCAAGCTAATGGTAAACTTTGATCCACTGAGGTGCTTTGTTGGGGACGTAGAGGTAAGTATTTAGGAAAAACTTTTGATGTTTAACCTTTGCTGCATTAGTCTTTTGTGCTTACATATTGTTTACATCTGTAGAAAGAGTTCTCCAACAGATTGAAGTTGTGGTATGATTCTTTGGGAGGTGATGCTATTGGTCTAACATGGGAACAGTCAAAGGTATGATTTACTATGCATTATGTTTCTAGTGATTGTATTCCCTGATGCATAATATCCACAAATCACGTTGATATCTGATCTATACATTTACTTTCCAAAGAAACGAGAACTAGAGGAAGAAGAGCTGGGAGGAAAATATCCAGTCGATTTGTTGAGAAATGTAGGTGAACTGGGGAAAGGATTTGTGAGGGATGTTTATTTGATCAAGGCTCCCAAGCTTACGAATTAAGGGAAAAAAGGTTTAGTAGAAGCCCCAGTCTTAGCAGCAGAAAGACCAGGTGTAAGTAATGGAACCCATAATTTTACATGATCATGCATGTTCAACTTTGAAGCAAAAGGCCACCTATGTCCAGAGCTTAACTGTTTGCAACAGAATCCTGGCAAACTCTTCTATCAGGCTCGGCTTCCCTCTATATTACATTTGGAGGGAAACAAATTCAAGAAAGCACACCAGTAAAGATGAAGTCTCCTGAAGCTGTCTTTCAACAAGTTGCTGCTGATGTTAGAGCTAGATTTCGTTCCCCTCCTAATATAGTTGATAGACCCTTGAAACAAAGTTCTATGTACAAATTGGGGTATATGCCAAACCATTTTAGTTTGTTCCTAAGGGTCATTTTTCCATTAAACTAATTGTTGAATGTAATATTCTACAAAATTTTGATCATTTAAGTGTTTTTTTTTGGGTGTAATTTAATTAATGATATCAACTTCTTTCATTTAACTATTTAATGTAACTTACTTAGTTTGATTAAAATTTTTCTATATATCAAATTTGTTAAACATTCTACAGATTATTTAAAAAAGTGTTAAAAAAGTCATATATATGTATATAAATACGGGACAAAAAATATTCAACCAATAAAATAAAAATAACTCACCAACATCATGACTGCATAAAATCATAGCTTAATCAAAATTGGCATATTAATTTAGTTTTACTGCTTGAAATTGGATTAAATTGATATAATAAGATTTCCACTAGATCAATACAATAGTAAGATATTATATTTTTTGGAAATAGACTATTAAATTTTGATTAAGGAAAAACAAAAAAATAGAGTAGACAATTTTAGACAAAGATTAAAGTCTAATGATAAAAGAAAGACAAACTAGGAAAAAGCAGGAAATAAAAGGAAGAAGACCAAATGTTTTTTGTTTCCTAAAACGACACCGTTTAAAGTGAAAGTGAACAAGCGATGTATCAACTGTCAAAACTTCGCAGCAAAAATCTCGAAACCAAATTTTCCGATCTGCTGATCAATCGATAATATTTCTTTCTTAGTTTCCTTCGAGCTTTGCTGTGAGCAGAGGAAATGGGGCTTCTTAGTATCATCCGGAAAATCAAGAGAAAAGAGAAAGAAATGCGAATTCTTATGGTGTAAGTTTCTCCTTCTCTCTTACTCTTTTTGTTTTCTCTCTTTTTTTCTTGCTCACTGCGAAAATTTGTATTTGTAATTCTATCCCATTGTTGCTGCAGTGGGCTTGATAATTCAGGGAAGACAACCATTGTTATGAAGATTAATGGAGAGGACACAAGCGTCATCAGTCCCACTCTTGGTTTCAACATCAAAACCATCAGCTACCAAAAGTAAAAATTTTCCTTTATTTGCAATCTCTAATCATCGACTAGCTAAGCTCACCAAGTGTTTGAAAATATGCTTTCTGGGTTGTTTTTCTTTTTAGTTTTTCTCTTAGAATTATGAATTTTTGTGATCTTGAATCAGATTTAATCTGGGTTTTGGCAGATATACTCTGAACATATGGGATGTAGGGGGTCAAAGAACCATAAGATCATATTGGAGGAACTATTTTGAGCAAACTGATGGTTTGGTGTGGGTTGTTGATAGCTCAGATCTTAGAAGATTAGATGATTGCAAAATGGAACTTGATAATCTTCTAAAGGAAGAGGTATGATCTTTTTAGTTTACTTGTTTTTCCTATCAAATGCATTTCAGTGAAGCTATCTATCTTGCTATAGCAGTTTTGAGGTTGCTGCAATTAATGTTTAGTAGAATATGAAGCAAGCTAATACCAGGCAAAGTTCTCTGGGGCTTGTGGCTTAGGATTTCTTTGTAAACTGTTTTCTAAGAAGTTGTTACCCCTTTTTCTTTGTGTTGCAGAGATTATCAGGGGCATCCTTATTGATACTTGCTAACAAACAGGACATTAAAGGAGCTCTTACACCAGCTGAAATTGCTAAAGTAAGGCTACCAGCTGATAATCACTTTCTTAACTTCTTAATTTTCAAATTTCGATGTTTGTTAGATTGCAAGAAACTGAGAATGTTATGTTTAGTTCTTTCTTTGTCAAAGGCCCAAAGTCGTTTACTTGTTTTCATGCTTAGATGCGGCACCTGCTTGTTCCAAAAGCATTTGGATAAATTCCATGTCTAGAAACTCTGTAATATAAGTTTCACATGTTTTGAGCCATTAAGGGTTTTACATGGAAATGCTGGTTTGTTTTAGGCAATAGAATGTTGTTAAAAATCATGTAGTTTTAGCTTAATTTGTCTTGATCATGGAATAAAAATGTGCAGGTGCTGAACCTGGAGGCCATGGATAAAACACGACACTGGAAAATTGTAGGGTGCAGTGCATACACTGGTGAAGGGCTGCTTGAGGGATTTGATTGGTTGGTTCAAGATGTGGCCTCCCGGATCTACATGCTTGATTAGCCTGAATTTGATTTATGTAGAGGTGCTGCCATTCTTCACTTGGGACCATAGATTTGGAACAAAGGTTTATTCTTTGTTTAGGTGAACTCTGATACACGAAGATGCAATTTGGAAATCTGTCACAGGACTTCAAATATCAAATTTTAAGATTTGAAATGCATATTTTCAACAAATCTATCCAATTTGAACACCCTTTGCTTTGATCTCTCTCTGCTAATGGATTATGTCACCTATTCCATCTTATTTCTCTCCTTCTCAATTGCATTGATGATTAGTACGCTCTTTCTGCCTAAGCCATGCTTTCACTTTGAGGAGCTTTGGGTGTTCCGCAGAGACGAAAGAAGAAAATATTACGAAGGGGCAAAACACAGGAGAGGAAATTATCCTTTAGCCATTTTAATTGCCCTTTATTTTGATTTTAATTAATCCATTAATCAATAATTTAATTTGATAAAAGCAATCATTAGAAGGATTGGGAAGTCATAATCAATCCGAGCGACAATTGCACTAAAAACTAGAAGTGAACCATTTCATGTAAAATAATGGATTTAACAAATGCTCATTTTTAGAGTCTAAAATTCATAAATTTTTTTTTTCAAATTAAGATAAAACATTTTTTATTTTACTTTTTTTTAGCCTTTACAAATATAGAAATGCCTTGGCCCGAACATATCGACGCTGATGCCGGCGCCATTGCATGCCTCACCTTCCCCTCCCTGATATCCCTCTTCTCTCTCTCACTCTTCCTTCCTTTCTTTCCTTTAATTTCATTTTTTCAGGTTTGTTTTGTTTTTTATTTCGAAAAATAAAAAAAAAAACAAATTGTAGTTTCGTTAACTTCAGTTCTCTCTCCTTTTCCTTTAAGAAAACAATTTATTTTTTTATAAACGTATCTTTTATTCATCAAAGAGTAGGGAAATCCTGCAACTTGAACGGAAAACCAGTTCAATCTTGATTCAGGAGGTTCACGAACTACAAAAACATTGGCATATCGAGCTATGAGAAGGAAAGAAAAGTAGAAATGTAGGCATCATAGCGAGCAGAGAGCTGATGGCGAAGTGCAGCAGTTGCTTTCTGAGATGCCCAAATTTGTTATCAGATCCTCTGTTCCTGTTTCCAGGCAGACACATGTGCGAGGTCTGCACTTCGGCCGTAAAACCTCGGGCCATCGGTGCCTGAAGAGGACCTTTTAGTTAGGGTTTTTCTTAAGCACAGCCTTGCTATTTATTGAATCCTCGTGGGCTCATCCTTGAATAATTGTCTACAGACATTACGTTGTTGGGCCTCGGCCCCATGATTTGTTTCTATTTTCCCTTAGCACGGGGGTACTCAATCATCCTTAAATTTATATTTGATACGGTTTTCACAAAATATCATCTTATAAATATATAAAATTAAAAATTAAAAATATTTTAAAATATATATTTAAAAATATGAGCATCTATGTTTAAAAGTTTTGAATATTTAAATTTATTTATTAATAAAATAACAATATTTCATTCGATGGTAATAAATAAAATCTATATTATCTCGACTTGAAAATCTATATTGAAAAAAAAAATTAGATATTTTATTACATAAATTTCAATCCTGCTTTTTTGGATGCAAAATATGGTTACCTAAGGCTTTTGAAGATGGCCTGTTCTTATTATTTCTACTTTAATACCCATAAAAATAACAAAATGCTTACCTTACTTGGTATGGTATAAGCTTCAAAATTTTACAACTATAGTGCAACATAATGGATTTTCATTTCTACAAAAGAGTCTTGCATTTATTTCTATCTTTGTCTGTATTAATAAAACAATTATGAACAAAATGATTAATATCGAAGAGGTGAAAAATCAAGCAAAATGACTGTTCCATTTGCCTAGGGAAAGGAATAAAAACCTCCTCATTAGAGAGGAACTACCTATGTGCAATCTATTTGTATGAGATTCAAGCCTGCAAATTCCACCAGGGTTCCGAAAATCACTTGTCATGAAATTCATCCTCAGCTCACATTCGGAATGCCAGGGGGTGAAACTTGTTGAAATAGAGCTTCCTGTATAAGTTTTTCTGTGAGAGATTTAGATAGTCCCATCACAGTATCAGTTGCTCCTATCTGCCGAACACCCAACATAAGTTATGTCAGAGGAATTCTTGAAAAGCAAGTGACAAATACTCAATCACCTTTGACCAGGTGACCTAGGATCACTTACAGCTCCTTGATGGAGCAGACAGACCACCAACAAAGTTGAGGTGGATCCTAACATTCTATAAAACTATGTAATCAAAATTCGGAAACGTTGGTGTACTAGATTGTTGGAAATGAAGGTACGGACCAGATAATTGGGGGGGTTTAAAGTCAGTTGAGCATGTCTACGGTCCTCATTATGTGAAGTAGCAAAAAAATATGTTCAATGATAATGGGAGAAAGCAACAAGAGAAACAAACTCACCACTGCTTCAACAAATGGCAAAGTTAGAGGATGTTCCAGCATCAGACCTCCAGCAACCTTGAATGGGATTCCTTCATCAATCTGAGAACAGTTCACCATCAAGAAAGACTTGAATCAGATGAAAAAGAATAGCTCAAGAGAAAAAATCAAGTGATTACATATGTACACTAATTTTACCAGGTTATTGATCACCTCATCTGGTATGTCGTGGAAGTAAACCTGCAGGACAATAACCGAGTAGCAAATGACTTAAAGAAAGGTAGCATGATCCAGTTTCCATTTACAGAATGCTTCTATTGAGAAGAGATTATTCAGAAAGAAAATTAAAGAAAAAGGAAAAAAGAGTTGTAGTGATTTAAGTTTCTTCAAGGGAATTGAAATAAAATATCTTTAATAAAGCGCTTTTAAAATATTTGTCCTGTTGGATGGCAGAACAATATACAGAGACAATTAAAATGTTTATATGTTGTCTGTAAGTCACTCAAAAGTTAGATAGATATTCTGCACGCAGCATCAAGCAAATAAACAGAAAAGAAAAATGGCTAATAGGTTATTTCTTCTATTTTCTGACAAAGACTAAAGCAGCTATGTATAGCTCACCAGCAATCTATGGGAACCGGGGACATACTAGAGAACCTGTCATCCTTAGATTTCCCCGATGATACAGGAAGCCAAGATGATAAGATGATATCGCATTATTGAGTTGTTATTATTCTGCCATAATGGTGCAAGCAGATTGGTAGTAGAGAAAATCTAGTTAACTGTCCTAACATTAACGTGTCAATTGATAAAATTAAGCTGCACCAGAAGTCTTTATATTTTTGACATGCTGCCTCCATGTTAATAAAATGCAATTCATCATCGCCCTTCACCAAAAGCAGAAGCTAAATATATCTGGAGTTAAGTAGTACCTCTGCACTTTCCCATCCACATTTGCTTGATCTTGTTCTAAGGTTAGTCACAAGAACAGATCCTACCACTGCTGCATGGCCCCCAGAATATCCTGCAACCATAGGTGAGCTTTAAATCCATCTAAATCTTGTGGTTGGAAGATCACATTGGAGCCGATTAAACAAACCTTTGATATATTCTCGTGCTTCTTCCTCACTGCTTGGTTTTTCTCTGATCATCCCCTTATAGACCACCACCTACATATACAAGTAAGAAATAACCTTATGTAATTTCCATGCAAAACCAAGAAAAAGACCACCAATAATGATATCTTTTCTTATGCTCACCTCTGACATATTTCATAAAAGGCAGGCAAAAAATAATTATAGTAAACCAATAGAAGTTCTGATAAATGTGATAAATGCCAACTTAGCACTGGTTAAAAGCATATGAGGAAACAACTAATCTATGAAATAAACAATGTTAAGGCAATTTTCTGTCTTGCTATGTTGTCTACTCAGGGGTCAGAAACTAACATGTGATGCACTCCTAGATGATAACATGACAAGAAAAGTCTACATAATGGTGACAACAATCACAATAAATTACATCTACAAATCTTTAGCATTGTTGAAGCAGGATCACCGTTTGGATTAAGTAAATCTCTAATGAGACTCAAGTTTGCAGGCTGGTTGGGCAACCTCATTGGCAGTTCAGAATGGGCAAAAACATGTTTCCTTCTAGTAGAAGGACACCACCTCTGATCAGCATTAAGCTGATAGGTGATGATATGTGAATAATATATCAGGCTATATCACATAAGCAGATAATATCAAAACATGCAGTTGTCATTAGCTTGTAACAAGGAGATCCAAAATTATTAATCAGCTATTACCGTGCTGCTCCCCAATATAGTACTAGTATCTAACACTAAGAGCATGAACAACATATGAATGATTTTCAGTTTGATAATTCTCGGTGCACTTGTTAGACCAAACAATAAAATTCCCAGAATCCTTTAACACAGAATGAAATCATGTTGAAGAATACCGTATCTGCAGTAATTAATAATGTTGTGTGGGCATCTTCCTCTATTATGCCAGTGTTCTGTAGGCTTGATATGATGGCATCTGCCTAGGAAAAAGAAATTAAGATAAGAGTAATAATAGAATTGTCATAGCTCATAAGCCATCAAAAGGACAAAAACTGCTAAATGAAATGAAGAGCTTCCTCATCTACTGATGTACCGCTGATTCGGATTCCATCCCATAAAGTCAAATCATAAATGGAGACATTCTAGTAAAAACTGCTGAAGCTCTATATAGCAAGTTCAAATAAAACATTGCTCTCGTGAAAATGAAATACTAAAGCATGAGCAACAGTGAACTTTGGGAGATAACTGAGAGTGACAATAGGTAACAAGAAAGCAAAGAAGTCATACCTTTGCCTCAGCAAGAGCCGTCACCAAGTCTTCTGGCTTTTCTTTTCTAATACTTTTCTCATCTATATCTGCAGTCTAAATCACACACTTAGTTAAATTTCTTCCTACTTTGCTAAATGGGAAGAAGAAAGAAAAAAGGAATAACTTAATTAAAAACCCCATCAATACAATTCTTCACTAGATGAAATCTAAATACTTTCCCTGCCTAAACGTACAAAGAAATATAAAATTTCATGCTTAAAACCCCAATTTTAGTTAGAAAATTAAGGGTGACTTCTTTAAGCCAATGAGAAAAATGAATAAAAACCCAAAAAAAATTTAAAAAATCATACTTAAAATACCCAACTTTTGTCCTTTAGTTAGAATCAGGGCTTACTTGTTTAAGTATGCCAAATTCTTTTTTAGTTCTTTTTCCCTTTGAAAGTCCCCTTGAAAATGATGGATATATACCAGCACCTTAACAACATACC